CAATGCTGCTGGCGCTAACGGGGAGCCGGTGCCGGGACCTGGAGGAGCCGGGAAACAGCTTCCCCTCCACAGCTGGAGCTGTGGAATGGCAGGAGCTCCTCTGTGCTGCCCTCCAGCACAAATAGCCCAGCCTCCTCTTCCACAGTCCTCTTCCACAGGCCTCTGCTACGGGGAGGCACCAGTTTCAGCTGGGAGGGTCTCTCATCAGGTGAGTGGCCCCATTTGGGAGGGGTGTGCAGGTGCTCTGGTGCCTGCGCTGGTGGGTTTGGGGGTGATGGTGAATTTATGACCTTGACCTTGCCTGGAGCGTGTGTGTGGGCTGTGAGTTGGAATCTGTGTTGCAGTTTGGTGTGCGAGCAGGGGTTGTTGCAGGGCAGGTGCCTATGGGAGGTGCGTTCCTCTCTGCAAGCTGCTTCGTGTGAGTCTTCAAGTGCTCTGCCAGCCCTTGCCAGAGCTGTTACTTGGATAACATCCCAGCTGCCTGGCTGAATGCAGACATCAGCCTGTCTGAGGGACTGCGGGTCCGGCCCTGGAGTCAAGAGCCGGGGATGTGCAGAGAGGGCATGGGAGAAGAGGGAGCCCAGCACCCCCAGCCCTGCCCGCAGCGCTGCCCAGCCTCCTGCCCAGCTCTCACACATGGTTCAGGCACCGTGGCTTCCTGCAGAGGAAAGAGGTTTTGTCCCTTCCCTTCTCTTTCTGCATGGGGACAAGGGACTGTTGGCACGCAGGGATCTCCCCAAGCTACAGGGTGCTGCCAGTGCCTCTTTTTTTTTTTTTTTTTTTTTTTTTTTTTCATTTGGTCTTCTTTTCCTTTTGCTTCCCTGGCTCAGGGAAGTCCTGCCAGCATCTGACAGGCTTCCTGGCTGTGCAAGCCTGTGTGTCTGCAGCAGGGAGCAGCCTGGTGAGGATTCCTGCTGGGATGAAGGGGGGGATGGAGCCCGGCGGCTCGGCACAGCTCTGCTGCCTCTCGGCTGTCTTGGGGCACACAGAGCCGTTTCCGCACCAGATCGAAGGGCTTTGTCACAAGCAGCTTGTGAGGCTTGGCAGCACTTTAGGCAGGAGAGAAATCACAGCAGGCTGCTCTGGCATCATTCAGTCATGGTCCCATCCCCTGCCAGACCCCGCTGCTCTGGGGCTCCCCACCACGCAGGGGGAGTGCGCAGCCGGGGCGGTGTGCCGGCACCAGGCAGAAGGGACAGCTTCCACCCCAGCTGTCTCAAAGGCTTCCCAGTGGCAGACACAGCCTCCCCCCCACCGTGCAGTCCCGGGATGAGGCTTCTGCCCCCCTCTCTTCCTCTGCTCCCCCAGCACTGTGTTTGGGGACGGTGAGAGGGCACTGTGAAGTGTTACTGGTGCATCCTGCCCAGGCAAGCCAAGGCGTGTTCATGGTAAGACTCCAGAGCAGGAAAAAGGCATCCCTGTGTCTTCAGAAAGAAAATGCTGGAGGGTATCAGCTGGTGTGGGACAGCTCTGGCCCTGACCACCCTCTCCCTGCAGCTGGAGGGTGACTCAGTCCAGGTGAGGAGCTGAGTTTATGTAAATCATCCCACAGAAGAAAGCAGAGTAAAGTCATACATCTGTTGACCTTCAGCAATGTGAAGATGGTTTATTTTTCTGCAGAGGTGTGTATATATATTTATTTTATGGTGGCAACCAGAACAGTATTGACTCCTTTTCCCACCCGAAATACTGCTGTTTCTCTGCAGAGGAGATGAGGGCTGTGCATAGCACCCGGCCACAGGCAGAGTCGCTGTCAAGTGGGTCTGCTCAGCCCAGGGTATTTTCTCCTCTGGATTTGATGCAATTGCTGCATCCTGTTGGGACTACAGCTTCCCACTTCTGGGCCAGGCTAGCTAAATAACCCTCCCTTTTCAAAGGTTTTCAAAGCTGTAGTAATTCTTATTAGGCTGGTTTGAATCATCTCTTGAAAAGGTCTCACATCACTCTTGAGCACCAAACTGTTCTGTATTCAAACCCTGACCACCCAGTCTTCTGAGCCAGAGTGTAAAATGTGCATGGAGAAGGCTCCAAGAAAATATTTAAAACATGTTTGGGTGTGCTGTGGGTGAGATCTTGCTTCTCCATTGTCTGCCTTGTCTCCATCTCGGAGTGGACCAAAGTGTGAGCAAGGCTGCCTTCAGGATGCCAATGGCTCCCTGGGGAGCGCCTCTGGATCCCATCCCCTGGGATGTCAGGGAGTGTTGGAAATTTTCTTTGGGATTGGTCCAAGAGTGACTGGCCCCAAAACCCCTGTTTTAAGGGAAGATGGAGTAAGCCAGACCTGCCACGTGCAAAAGAAGCTGAACGGCTCCCTGCCCTGCAGCAGTGCTGCTGCTGTGACGTGCCACGATGGATGTTTCTAACCCAAGCTGGGTCCTGCAGTGCAGCCTTTGCCCACGTTCCCAGCACCACACCTGGTGGGCTCGTCCCAGGAGAAGGTCCCACTGCAGTGAGTCCTGAGCTGTGGTAAGGCCTCGGGCAGAGAAAACAAACCTCTCCATCTCCAGGCTGCTCTAGTGCTGGGGAAGCAGACGACATGGAAAGAAGCACGGAAACATCTCCTCTCTGGCACAGGACTCACTGCTTTTCCTGTTGTCTTGCTGGCACGTACCTAGCATGCAGAGAGGAATTCCCTTCCTCCCCAGAGACCTGGATCCAAAGGAATTTCAGCCAAAGCACATTGCCAGGAGCTTACCACAACCAGTGATCCTGTTCTGGTGCATTGCCCAGCTTCTCCCAGGCGGGTGCTGACTGCAGGGTGGGTACAGGTGAGTCTAATCCATGGTGATGGGAGCTCCCCAGTACAGCTGGGTGTTGCTGGAAATGCTGTGCACAGTGGTAGGGACCTGTGCCTGGGGAGAGGGGGCAGAGGATTTGTTGATGCAACTGCAGGTGGATGTACACGGTGCATTGCCTCAGGGGTTTTTACTTTGCAGTGTCCCCAGACAGAAAGCAGCAGGACCAAGGCAGACCAAATGTCCCCCATAGCATCCCCTGGCCCCAAAGCCACCTCCTCCTGCCTGCCTGGGCCAGCAGCTTGGTGACAGTGGTGACACGGGCAACGGTGGCTCTGATTCAGGGTAGAAGGAGGGACATCACATGGAGAGCTGGAGGCCCCAGGCAGCAGTTTTGGGGAGGATGAAGCCCTCCTGGGCTGCTGCCTTGCCCCTGTCTCTGCAGAAGGGCTGCTGTGCTGGGCATGGCAGCAGTCGGGCTGTGCGGGGCCATGAGCGCTGCCAGCCGAGAGGCACTCCATGCCTGGAGCTCTGTGTTTAGTCAAACCAATTAGCAATTTAATCTTGTTAACAAACCAAGATAATTGCAGCATTATCAAATTAGCCAGCTGTATGGAAATGCCTGCTTAATAGCTGATAATAGCTGGTCCTGATGGAGGAGAGAGGGCTGTGATCTGTGACTAATGACCGGCGGGAGGTGTAATCAGGCTTCTCTGCCCTCGGTCGCTGTGCCAGCCCCGGCTGCCTGGGTAAGGGGATGTCTGGGGGAGTGCTGGGGCTCTGTCCCTGCCACCCCACAGCTAATGTGGCATGGTGCTTCTTGCTCAGAGGGATGGGTTGGTGTAAGGGTGGCAGAAATTATTTTTTTTCTCCAGGCTGGACACTGCACTAGTCAGAAGCAATGTCTGATTTTACACTGAATTTGGCTGACAAGCTCCCAGCCCTCCCTTGGCACTGCATGAGCTCTCCAGTTATCTCTGCCTTCCCTCAGCTGAGCAAAGCAGAAAGGTTGTCTTTCACTATAGGACTTTTTCTTTCTCAGTCACTGAGTAATTTCGGCGTCTTTGCCTCCCTCCCTCCAGTTCCTCCATGGGGGTGACCATGGGTGGACTCGCTCCATCAGATTCTCTCCCAAACCTTGGCCAGGGAGCTTGGGCCAGATATTGATCCCACAGCCAGGGGTTTCAGCCTGCTGTATTTGTGGGTGGCTTAAATATCTGGCCAGTTCCTGCTGCTCTCCAGATTGACTTGCTCGTGCCTGGCAGCAGGGATCAGTAGCTCAGCCCTCGCGCAGCACCAGCTCCCACCCCAGGCACCTTTCAGGCAATGCCTGCAGGTCAAAGGAGATGGAAGCAAAGTGCCTCCCCAGCCAGCCACCCAAATGCTCTTTTCCCCCAGTTGTCCAGCACCCACACACTTTTCTCTCTGTTCTCTCTAGTGTACGCAGACAGACAAGGCTCCTCTCTCAGTCTGGGCTGGGTCCGCTCGTTCAGAGTATGATAATGGCACGTGCAAGCCTGGTGTCAGCGGTGGGGCCGGGCAGGGGCTGGCAGGCCCTGTTTGGTGGGCATCGGTGCGGGCTGGGCGATGCTCTGCCCCTGCAGCACACGGCGGCAGCGCCCGGCTCTGCGGTTGCACCGGGCAGGTCCCTCAGGCTGCACACGCTCTCTTCTGCTGAAGTTTCTCAGCAGAATTGGCCCTGGCACTCTGCTGTACAAAAGTTACAAGGACACCTTAGAGCTGTGGGGTTTTTTTGCCCTGTCTTGAAGCTTTCCCAGGCAATTTTCTTCATCTGAATTTTCCCCACTAGCTCAGGTTCAGTGAGGGACTCATCACCTTTTGGGGTTTGGGTCTATGTAACCCCCCTTCTCTGCCCTCCAGATGTGCCCCAAGTGGGGTACCCACAGGGAGGCTCTACATCCTGCATCACCCCCAGGCAGGCAGGGTCATTCCCCTTCCACAGCCCCATCCAGCTTGGGGCATGCCTGGGGGATGTGCTGCTTTCCTGGGCCTCTTGCAGCCTGCCAGGAGAATCCCCTAAAGCATACACTCCAGCCCCTTCCCACTGCCCTCTCCTCCTGGGTCTGTATGCCTCTGGATGGATTTGCTCCACCAAGCCAGCCCCTAACCACACTCCGGGTGCGCAGCCGGACTGTTTTCTTCCTCCTTCCCAGGAAGAAATTCTGGGATGAAAGCAGCAGTGGGAGCATGTGCCAGGATGGGCCTGGAGAGCGGTGGGGAAAGAAGTCACGCATCAGGAGCATCCCTGGGACAAAATCTTTTATTTGTTAAAACAGCAGCAGGGAAGCGGAGGGAGAGGATGAGCAGGCAGCATGTCAGTGGGGTGGTCCTGGAGCTGAGGTGGCCTCTGAGCGTGGGCTGGTGGCTGTCGCTGTCCTCCCAGGAGCTGGTGCCGGGCAGGACAAGCCTTAGCAGAGGCGTGGGCAGCTGGCTGGTGCCAGGGTGGCATGGGGATGCTGAGAAGGCCCTCAGTCTGTCCTGGGAGCAGAAACTCACACTGGAGAAAAGGAGAGAAAGCAACAGGTTGGGTCTGGTGCTCAAAGTAACCCCCAGCCCACGTGTTTGGTCATTAATCACCCCACCAAGCTGACAGCAGAGGGCTCTGGCAGCTGGACACAGCTCCCTGCCCAGAGCCACCGTCGCTGTGTCCCCCCCCCGCTCCCTGGGGAGGTGGGCGCGGGAGGGTCTCCTGAGACCCTACCGTATGAAATGGCAGGGGAAGGGAAGCGCGAGATGCATTTCCTCCCGCAGAAGGTCTGACAGCACTTCTTGTTCCGCGGACAGTGCCAGTCGCTGGAGCACCTGTTCGGTGGGTTGGCCATCGCGCAGGTGAAGCGGACGGGTGGGCAGGACCAGGCGCTGCCTGCAAGAGGAGGGAGTTGTTTGCTCCAGGCTGCCGGCAGCTGAGGGGTCCTGGGGAGACGCTCCCCAGCAAGCACCCCCCTCCTCTCCCCTCCCCTTCCATCCCCCAGGATCCCTGCAAACACGGCTCCTTCCCAGCCCCTGTACTTTTCCTCGCTGTACCTTGTCCTAGGACATCTCATACCTGTTGGCAGCTCTGTCCAGAGGATGAGCATCCCCACCAGGAGAAGGGCGGCCACCGACTTCATGCTGCCGTGTCCCTGAGAGATGGGAGTGTGGAGAGCTGGAGGACACCAACATTTAAACCCTTGGGGAGGATGGGGGTGGGGAACGGGGCTGGGCACGTGGCTGATGTTTGCACCTTTTTCCTCTGTCATTGCGTTGTGTTTTCTGTAAGCCTTTTGCACAAGATACAAACAAGATTGTTCAGTTGCTCAAAAAGCAGTTATTTCATTGCTCAACTGTCCCCTGCAGCCACACCTGGGGCTGAGGAACAAGCCAAAGGGAGATGGTCCAAGGCATCATTCCCAAGCAGGCTGGAGGTGGTGGAGCTGCTATCTCCTGGGCAGGTATGCTTCTTCAGGAGAAACAATCATGGTGACCATGCTGTGTTTCCTTCTGGGGGTCCATTATGTGGGTTCCCCTCTGTACCTTGCTTCCACATCAACCTGCAAACCAAACGTTACAGCAAGATCCAGATCAGTGTGGGGCTGCCTGTGCTTCCCAGGGGTGATCCTTCATGGTTTTCCCAGAGGAAACCTCCTCCAGCCCCAAACCCTGCTGGTTCCTGTCCCACTGGTGGCATAAGCTAGTTTGGGGAAAGCACCTTTGGATTAGCCAAGGGTGAGTCTTTCCCAAGCTCCATGAGGGTCACCTGAAGCGCAGCATCTTCTCTGGGTGGCTGCTGCCATACAGGAAGCAGGTTGGTGCTGGAAGAAAGTGTCTGGCCTCACCAGGGTACGATCATTAGCTCCATACAGCCCTGTCATCAGCCAAACATCCCCGGTGTGACTGAGCTCTAACTCTGCTCTAACTCTGGATGGCTGTGGGGCTAAGGGGCTGTAGTCCTTGCTCAGAAGGCAAAGGTCTCACCAGCCTTCAGGCCTCCATCTTCTTCCTCACAAGGAGATTATACCCTGCCTCTGGGCAAACCTGTTTTCTTTAGGTGCTCTTGGGCAATGGGAAATTGCTCCATTTCCCACCAGTGGGTCAATGTCCTCCTCACCTTGTGTAACAGGTTCCTGGAGCCTTTTCTTGAGATTTCTGGGGCTGACAGGAATCCAAGCTGTGCTGGAAACAGGCGCTGGGAATGCCCCAGGAAGGGAAAGCACCCCATAGCAAAACACCCAGTTCTTCTGCAAAAGGCAGGCGGGGACAGCCCCTGATTTCGCAACTGGCCGGGGCAAGGAGCAGCAAACCCCCAGGCAATGCCAGTGTGTGCTCCACGCAGCCCCCAACCCCCCCCACACTGCTCTGCCCCAGCCTCTGGAGCCCCCACTTTCCATCCAGGGCATGGGGGGCATCTCACTGTGCCCTTTCCTGCTCAGATTTCCCTTCTCATGTCTTGATGTGCCACACTAACTGGACCTTAACTTGCTGGATATCTGTTAGTTACTGTTCGGTTTCCCTAATGGTTCTGTGGCTGCATTTATCTCTTTGTAAAGTCATTTATTAAATAGCTGGGAGAGTATTTAGCCAACTCAAACAGACTTTCTTGGCCGTGCACCAACAATTTAGCACTTTTAATGAGAAATACAAGCATTGGATTAATTCTTAATCAATCCCTTGGTGTTCAGCTGCTGCTGGAGCTGGAGAGGACAGTGCTGTGCTCCCAGCTGATGCCAAGATCTGGCCAAGGTGGTGCTTGGAGCTGCACCTCCAAGAGAGGAGAAAACACCAAGGAGCAAGGCTTGGATTCAGCTGCAGGGAAGCTGGAGGGAAAGAAGTACATCTAGAGGACTTTAGATAGTGCTTTATCCATAGCAAATCCATTGCTTCTGTTGCAAATTCCCATGGAATAACCCAGACCACGGCATTTCTGTGCACAGGACTGCCTGCCGTCCTCGTGTTGTGCTCTGCCACATGCGCAGCACCAACCGTCCCCATCCCACACTGCTCAAACTCTCCTCCATGAAAAGCACTTTGTGAGCCTCATCCCGAGGCAGCAAGGCCTGAGCTCTGCGATGCCAAGGATGCTGCCAGCTGACACTGCAATTTCCCAGCCAGGCCAGTGCTCTCCAGTTTGTATTTCCTGGAGATGGCAAGGAGGGAGGCCAGCAGCCCTTGGTCCCTCAGCTGAGGGCTTTACCACGGCCAAGCCCCAGCCTTAGCAGAGTGCACAAAACACTTGAGGAACAGTTTTCACCCGCAAAGCAGCCCTTGTGCCCTACAAGGTGATGCAATGGTTTCAGCCTGACTCCCAGCTCCATCCATCCATCCCCAGCTCATGGCTGAGGATGCTCTGCTTGCCCCCCGCCAGGTCCACCGCCTTGGGGTGCCCAGGAGGAGAGGGTGCCCCCAGCCCAGCACACCCTCATTAGCACTGGTGTCTGGTGCCATCTAGTGAAAATCCATTAATGAGGCTCTTCAGGACCACACAGACACAGCCCTGCTCCCAGATGTGATCCCACAGCCTGTCCTGGGGATGCTTTCCCAAAAATCCACCTCAGCTGATGCCCAGTTCCTGCTGCTCTTCCCCAATCCTCCCACCTGCCCACCGACGCTTTGCCATGCCTGAGGTCAGGCCGTGCTGCCAGCCCAGCTCCACTTTGTCTACAAATTCCCTTAGGATTTGCCAAAATCACATTGGGCCAACTGAGGCTTAAACATGTCCTCAGGGCATGCCATTATCTGCTTTAATCAAGCCTGTTATTAAATGCCAAACTCAGCTAATTGCTTCCTTTTGTCCCCCACCCCTCCCTTTTTTTTTTTTTTTTTTTTTTTTTTTTTATTTTTCTTGCAGTTACTGTGTGGTTTTTAGGGAGCTGCATACAAAGCAGGGCAGCCCCAGCCCTACACACACACACACACATACTCTCCCCCCTCCTCCCCGGGCTGTCTGCTGGGCTGTGGGGTAGGTGAGAGGGATAGGGAGACTGGGGAGGGGTGTACATGGATGGGATATAGGGCTGAAGGGTGGGATATGGGGCTGACAGGAGGGCGATGGGCCTGCCAGCTGGGATATGCACAGAGCAAATCAGCGCTGCTTGGTTTGCTGACCCAGCAAACAGCTATAATGAGGCTACAAATGCCCCAGTCCACATCAACGGGATGAGAGCCCTGCTCACAAGCCATCAAGCCCTGACAGCAAACTAGGGAACCCCTGCTTTTGATAGCATGTGGAAAAAGCTGCTCCTTGCCTCGTGAAGCAAATACCTGAGCACTTCCCATAGCCATCCTGGCAAACCCCCACACCCCAGGACCTGCTTTCAGCCTCCTCCTCGCTGGCTCCAAATCCCAGCCTCAAGCACACAAAACATCACCGCATCCCAGCTCCAACCCCCTAGGACACGAGTCCCATGGAGCAGAGCACTCCTGGAAGTGGGGCCAGCAGGCTGTGTCCCCCAGCCACCCCTGAAAGTGTCCTGTAAACCCACCAGGAATATTCATGGTAGTGGAAACACCCAGGCTCTGCAAGCAAAGCAAATTGGTCAAGGTGGGTGCTGGAGCCACTAACAGTGTCCCTGGAGAGAAGGAGCTGTGCCGAAACGCTGTGAGCCCAGGGCTGTAACCCTCTTCCTCCCACCAGCACCCTGCACAGCTCCACGAGTCCCCTGGGCGCACAAATCCCCCCTGCGCAAACTGCTAGTTGAGAAACACTTCGCTCTCACCTCCTGGGTACAGGACCAGCAAGCAAGGTGGGTACATGAAGGGCACTCCAAAAACCTGTCTTTGTGCCTATCCAGCAGATTCTACCTGCATGCAAGAGGCAAGACTAAGTGGAGACCTCCTTTTGCCCAAGCGTGGGGCACGGAGGCTACACCGAAGTGGGCTTCTGTGATCAAAAAGCCACCTCTGCCCCATGCACCTGCAGGAGGTGGGTCCCCAGATGCCTCAGCATCCCTCCCCTGCAGCCAGCCAGGGAGCTCAGTGACCCTCCTGCCCTGAGCAGACATGTCCCAGCACTAGGGCCATGTCCCCCATGGGTGTAAGTGGCCCTGCACCACTGACTTGGCACGTTTACATCCCACTAAAGCAGGCACCGAGCTCCCAGTGCTCTAACAAGCACAGGCTTCAAAGCAAACCCTGGGAATGGTGACACAGCGTCCATGCCACGCTGGCTCCTGCCAGCTGAGACCAGGTCTGCAGCAGTCTGGGGTGGCCACAGAGCAAAGGTTTTCCCAAAGGACGTTTGGAGCCTAAGGACAGGCAGCCTTTGCAAAGGCCAAAGGCCCTGTTCTGATGCAGAGATGCCCAGCCAAAAGGAGAGAGACATGTCATACAAATCCTCAGAGTGTTTATTGTCAGGATAGAAATTTCTTTATATAAAGAAGTGTTTAAAAATAGCACTACCCTGCTCTCAAAATGAAATATATATATATATATACACACACACACACGCATAGATATTTATAGAAAGAATTATTACCATTTTTCTATGTGATAAAAAAACCGAACAAGATAATGACCGATTCCCAAACAATTCTGCCAAAACGAGGGCAAAGAGGTCTGCCGGTTCCTGCCACCCCTCTCCCGTGGGCGCACCCCCGTGCACTGCCCACGGCGCCCGGTCTCCTTGCCCCTCCACTCAGCAGCAGATGCTGGGATGGCAGAAGCTCTCAGGGTGCAATCACTGTAGGCTTTTTTTCTCTTGCAAAGCAGCTTGCTGGGCGCTGGGGGCCAGGGAGGCTGCGCAGGGCTGGTTCATCCCAGTTGCTCTGGGAAAAGGCCGGGTGTCACATCTCCTTGTCCAAAGCCCAGCCTGCCCTCACAGTCATCCCACCTCATCCCAGACCTGCCAGTTCAGAGGAATGAGGCAACAGCAACAGCTGAACCCCTTGGCTGCGCAGCAGGGGTTTTGCTCAAGTTCTTTTTTGTTTTTTTTTTTTTTTTTAGGATTTTGTTTTTTAAATACACTCCACGTTCCCCTGGGGATTTTGCGATACAAGAACAAACACTGATGCTTTACAATAACCTAGCAATAACAATGCCACGTAGCTACTGTAGTCCCCATGCCCCGTTGGAGCGCTGCAGCCCTCTGCAAGGATCACTTCTTCTTGGCAATCTGCTTTTCCAAGTCTTCCAGTCTGACTGTCATCTGAGCAAGTAAATGTGCTAAGGAAACA